TGTCTGATTATATGAACATTCTTAATAAAAACCAAATTTGTAATTTAATAAAAACTACATTACATTAAGCAACAATCTCTAGTTTGTAGTGTCAATTTTTTTATCATATAATTGAGATAAGATCTACTCACCTACCTAAAAGAGTCTTAATCTTCAATATTTGAATTATGCCGATTTTATTTATTTATAGTTTTACATAAGGTCTAACTAACTCACTTATGATCCACCGACAATAACGTTGATAGAATAACACCTCTTGATTTCTGAAGACAATAAACATCTTTAAACATGTCACGTTTATACTGATATGATAAAATTTATAAACTCAATTAATTTGGTCAAGTTTGGGTAGCCTTTAAGCTTAATGTATATTCTTTATAGAAGGTCGGTGGTGTGTCAAACTCTTAATATTTTTTCCATCGTACATTCAAACTCGATCATTGCATGTCGGTGAACGTTGAACATCTACGTTGAAAGGAGAAATCATTTTTCATTTTATTTTTCCTTTTTTTTTTAATAATATCTTATGATATTTAAGAAGTAAAAAGGGAAAATCTTAAATAAATTATAAAAATTAAGAAAATTTGTGTGTTCCTTTTTCTGATTTAAAAGGTAGATTTATGAATATGATATTTTAACATCTTAAATTAAGCAATTTGTTTCTTAGATTAAAGAGCTCCTTTTGGGCTTTCGGCCCATGGATTCTAGCTAATGGGCTAGGCCTTCACTCCTTTTCGGTCATCATCCAACCTCTAACAAATCAAATGAAACCTTATTATTATTATTATTATTATTATTATTGAGATTTGATTTAAAGAAAAATAATAATATAAATTATTTTCAACCATTTCCATACTTTATTTAATTTTAAATAATAAAGTATTCTCAAAATAAATTTTAGCCTATCAATAATTTATTTGAGCTTAATTAAATTTCTTTTTAATAAATTTAAAATATTTAAATTTGACTCGACCTTCATTTGTTAATCTTACAGGATTCAATGGGTCCATCCTCCGCTACTCTCTCCGCCCCAACGACGGCGCCAATTCCCATCCGCCGCCCTTCCATACCACATCCTCCAAGAAACGGCCGCGTTTTCAGAAATTGAAAAATATTTCGAGTATTTTAAAATTATCTTGACACACATTAAAAATACTAAAAAAACAGAAAAATAATTTAATAACTTATTTTTCATGTTGTTAATATTAACACATTTGTTGTTTGAAAAGAAAATAAAATGGAAGACGGCCGGTGGACGGTTGTTCGGTGTCGGAAGAGGCGGCAACGGCAAAGAAGAAGAAGAATAACAGAAATCAGCCGTTACTATTTCTCGCACGTGCCGACACAAACATTTTCCTTTTCTGCTTCTACAACTAGAATTCATGCAACGGCAACAAAATAGCCGTTTGGCCGTGCCTGAAAATACCTCACCGGAGTGGCGAACACTTTCCTTTGTTCAATTCGTTCCAACGGCCACAAACATTTCAAAATCAAAACCCATTTATTTGTTCCCCTTTGCCTGTAAATCATACCCCGCTCCCTCCTCCCCTTTCCTACCAATTTCCGACTCACTCACATCCTCTGTTTTCATCAACACCCACCATGTCTTTAACCTTCCACGACTATCTGTCCTTCCAATGTTCCATCCAAAGCACTTGCAACGGCACCGTGGCTTCCGACCAGCAACCCATGCAGCTCCTGGAACTCCGACTCGGAAATTCGACCCATCTGATTTCTCGATCTTCTCGCCAAATTCTCCAACAAACTCCCACAACCCCAATGGGCGATGCTCTGTTTCCTTTTGTTCTGCGCGACCTCCAACACCCACCCTTCCTCTCCAACTGCTATGTTCTTCAGTTTTTGTCTTCCTTCAGCATCCCCATCGCCGCCTGCGATATCATCTATGAAGAGATCTCCTCGTTTGCGCTCCAATTGGCCGCCGGCAACGTGGATCTCAACTTCCACATCGTCGTCGAAGTGGATGTCATCGAAATGATATGGGTGGACCTGGACCCATTCCTTGTTGAAGAATATTCTCCGGCTGAGATGAATGGGGCGCCGGCGTCGGCGATTGAGAGGTTGCAGAGGCAGGAATTTGATGGGTTAAGGGAGGAAGAGGAGGAGGGGGATTGCAGTGTTTGTTGCGAAGCGCTGAAGGGAGAAGAGGAGGTGAGTAGAATCCCGTGTGGTCATGTGTATCACAAATGCTGTATTCTCAAGTGGCTTCAGATGAGCAATTCGTGTCCTCTGTGTAGAACCAAATTAGAACAATAATTCTTTTTTTTTTCTTTTTTAAGAATTACGGAAAATGTAATTCTGGTTTTTGTGCAACAATTTCGTTGCAAATGATTGTAATTAGATTAATGATGACAACAAATTTTACATTTTTTTGTCGGTTGATTCAATATTATTGAAACTCTATACTTCTATTTATTATTATTATTAATATTATTATGAATTTAAGATACTTAGAGCATGAGCATACCATTTGGAAATAAAAAAATAAAAAATTTGGAGAGACGAGTGTCAGTCATCTACCGTTACATCGACTTACAAAATTTAGTGACTTTTTCTTAGGCTCATAAGGTAAGTGAACTTACTATTAGAACACGTTTAGGTTAGGTTGGATGAATTGTATGTCGTATGAATAACACATTGTGTGGTTTATTTGTGTTATTACTTGTTCATGCCATATTTATGAACCTTTTGTGATGCATATACTTTGAGTATGTCAATCCACGTATACTATGATATTATGTTCACGTTATGTCTTATAAAACACTCAATGAGTCATGTATGATAGAATGAATAATTTGTCATGTACATATATGTATGTCTCATAGGAATGTTATGTCATCAAAAGTATGGAAATATGACGTGCATAATAACCATATACCATGATTTAAAAATGTGAGACCTAATGCGTGTTGTTTGTCATGAGCACCGAATACTTCTCTAGTATATTTTGTAAGGACGCATACACCATGATATGTTACACGCTCCTTTCTTTTGGTTGGTTTTCAACAACATGAGTGTACACTGTCCTGTAGTTAGGCTTAGGGGTACATATACGACCTCGTTTAGTTTGGATTGTTCAAAAAATCACATAACTCAAAAAAATCTGATAAATACCACCTAACCTGTATGGTTTGGGTTGGGTTCAAATATGTAACGATTAAAAAAAAAAAAAAAAAAGTCTTTCATGTTTCATGCCTTCAGCAACGTCTTTCCCTCGACGCGGGCGAGATCTGAAATATGAGAATTTGGAAACGCCGGCGAGATCGGTCCCTTAACGATCAGCGACCGAGGGTTCAAATTCGGGCTACAGCGTACGGAGGAGAGAGACTTGGACGAAAAATCGCATTAATCGGGTAAGGAAGACAATTTTCCGGGTCGGATTCTGATGCGGATCGGGTGCCCAACTAACAACCCAGCTTCGGCCCACCTACAACCAATTGTCTCGGCCCAAACATCTACAACCCAATCACCTGCAGTCTCGGCCTAGATGCTTGCACCCTCGGCCCATACACCTGCAATGGTCCAAAACCAATTCAGCTAAGTCTAGCCCAGCCTCGCGGCCCGCAACCCGCGCGCCTGCATCAGCGACCGGACAACCCACGCTTCGACTCGACTACGACTTGCACACGCGTCACCTCCTTCCAGCGACACGTGTCGCACCTACAACTAACGACTCCCTCAGCTGGTGCAGCTTTGGCTCGGCTCCTCGACTTAGTTTTTTGGATCGGTAAAGGGATTTTTTTGACAAATTCTACCGTTTCGACCATTTCAATGCTGAAATTGACCTTGTTTAAGGAAATTAAGGTCAGTATAGGTTTAATCTCTCGGTTTAAATTAATTTGAGCTTAGAAATTTGAGTTATTAATGAAATGAGATGGACGTTCTAATCGGAAACAACTACCGGCAGTACTTTGAGGGATAAAATTCAAACGTACTTGAAATTAGGGAGAATGTCGACTAAGGTCAACAAGTAAATGACCTTATGGTTGGTTTTGTTATAACTTGTATGCAGTACGACGGCACATGCCCCCTAACTTTGCACGTGTCATATGCATGTTATGAAATGATATGTTATGATATGATATGTCTAACGACATGTTCGTGATATGATACATGAGTGTTATGATAATATGTTATCATGTAAGCTATTGACGATAAGACGCATGTTGTGACACGATATACGATATGATATGTGCATGATATGATATGATACGTAAAAGACATGATATGTTTAGGATATGACATGTTCAACATGACATGCAATATGACACAGTGACATAAAACCTCCATATATGCAGGGAAAGTTATGATAAAGATGATAGGATAAAAAGGAAAGTGGAACGGATTGTATTGTAGGATAATGAAAGAAAAATGTTGGGATCTCATGCATCATTGTGTGTTCATGTGTCCGAGAATACCCCTCTTACACTACAAGGCAGGAAAACGATCATTATGTTCATCATAATGCTTTGACGGTTGCTATTCCTAATGGGTGTTTGACGACAACAACTCTAGAGAATGCTTGGCCGACCAAGAAAATGGTCTAGGAGATAGGCGAACTGACTAGTGGGTTCATACTTGCACGTGTAGACCGTGTGTGGAAAAGTAAATATACATCCAATAAGGATAGTATTTTCAATTTTATGAAAATGTCAGGTGAAAGTATTAATAAAATATAGATATATAGTATTTTGGAAAGTATTTAAAACAATAAATAACAAAATAAACCTTTTGTATTTTATCGATTTATTTTAGTGTAATGAAATTCAAATAAATAGAGATATGAAACTAAATTTGATTTTGAGAGTTTCCATAAAAGAAGCCGTAGAAAAGGAAATTTTTAGAGTAATTTTAAATATGATTCCTAAATTTGATACTAAAATCTGAAGTTTCCTAATCGGAACATACTTATGCTTCCAATTCCCTATTAATATTGTTCTTCAATCAAAACAAAACTCCATCAATCTCTGTTTCAATCCAACATGCCTTTCGCAAATGCCTCCACCCTCCGCTACTCTCTCCGCCGCAACCACGGCGCCGATCAACTCCTCCAACTCCGCCTGGGCTATTCCAGCCGTCTCATCTCTCGATCGCCGTCCGCGGGCCTTCCCTACGACATCCTGGAAGAAACTCCCTCGACTCCAATGGCGGATGCTCTGTTTCCTCTGCCTCTACGAGAGCTGGAAGATCCGTTATTCTGCCACGCTTACTTGGTTGAATTGGTGTCCTCCTTCAACCTCGGCTCTGTGACGTGGAACCCCATTGTCCAGAAGATCACGTCGTTCGTCACACAGTGGGCTGCCGTAGACTATGATGCGAAGTTCCAATTGGTGGCGGACATTGATTACATTCAAATGTTTTGGATGGAGAAGCACCGGGGTTCAGTTGGGCGAGGTGTAATGGTGGAGGAGAGGGTGGTTCTGGAGGAAACTGGAGTGGCGGCGGCGGAAAAGCAGGGAATTGGGGGAGAAGAGTGCAGTGTGTGCTACGAAAGCTATGAAGCAGAGAAGGGGGGAGAGAAAGAGGTGGCTAAAATCCCATGTGGTCATGCGTTTCACAAATCATGCATCCTCACCTGGTTTCAAAGGAGCAATTCATGCCCTTTGTGTAGAGCCAAATTATAGCATATTTAACACATTATTATTATTAATTATACATTTTTTTTTTATATATATTTCATTCACTCGCATGATGTAAAAACAAAGAAATAAAGAGAAATATATTTAATTTGAATAGTGTTTAATATATTATAAAATAGATACACATATTTATTGTATAAATACATTAAATATTAAGGTAACTAATGTATAGATACATTAAATAAAAAAATATATTTGAAACTTGATCAATTTTAAATGAGTTAAATATATATTAAAAATACTAAAAAAGATAAAGATAAATCAAATAATATAACAACTTATTTTTCATTTTCTTAATATTAACATATTTGTCCGTTAAAAAGAAAAAAGAAAAGAAAAACAAAATCAGTAAAGAGTTAAACAGAAGAGAAGGAAATAAAAGTGGGGAGTGGAAGAAGGCCGCTAGACGTTAGTGTTTTCGCACGCTCCGGCAGCCAGTTGTAGGGTCAACGCTTCATTTAACGACGTCAACTAGCCGTTTGGCCGTGCCTGAATATATCTCACCGGCGCGGAAGACGCGACGGTGAAGAAGAAGAGGAACAATAGAAATCAGGCGTTACTATTTCTCGCACGTGCCGGCACAAATATTTTCCTTTTTTGCTTCCACCACTAGAAGAAATAGCCGTTTGGCCGTGCCTGAAAATATTTCACCGGCGCTGTGAACATTTTCCTTTTATGAATTCTGAATGTGATCCAACGGTCAGAAACATTTGGAAATCAAAAGCCTATAAATAAGACACCGCTCCCTCTTCCCCTTCCCTACCAATTTCGACATACTCTTAACAGTTGCTCACATCCTCTGTTTTCATCAACACCCACCATGTCTTTAACCTTCGGCGACTCTCTGTCCTTCCAATGTTCCTTCCGCACCAATAGCACCGGCACCCTGGCTTCCCACGAGCAACCCATGCAGTTCGTGGAACTCCGACTCGGACATTCAAGCCATCTCATCTCTCGATCTTCTCGCCAAATTCTCCAACAAACTCCCTCAACTCCAATGGGCGATGCTCTGTTTCCTTTTATTCTGCGGGACCTGCTCCACCCACCCTTCCTCTCCAAATCCCACGTTCTTCGGTTTCTGTCTTCCTTCAGCATCCCCATCGCCGTCTGCAATATCATCTTTGTGGAGATCTCCTCCTTTGCGCTCCACTTGGCCGCCGGCAACGTGGATCTCAACTTCCACATCGTCGTGGATGTGGATGCCATCGAAATGATATGGGTGGACCTGGACCCATTCCTTATTGAAGAATACTCTCCGCCTGCGATGAACGGGGCGCCGGCGTCGGCGATTGAGAGGTTGCAGAGGCAGGAATTTGATGGGTTAAGGGAGGAAGAGGAGGGGGAATGCAGTGTTTGCTGCGAAGCGCTGAAGGGAGAAGAGGAGGTGAGCAGAATCCCATGTGGTCATGTGTATCACAAATGCTGTATTCTCAGGTGGCTTCAGATGAGCAATTCGTGTCCTCTCTGCAGAACCAAATTAGAACAATAGTTCCCTTTTTGTTTTTTTTTTCTTGGGTGAGAATTAGGGAAACAGTAATTGAGAATTTTTGTGCAACAAATTGGTTGCCCATAGATGTATATAGACTCATAATAGTAATAATAAAACAAATTTTAGATTTGAATAAATTGGGTTATGAATGTTGTGATATCTCTTAGACGTATGACTCTGATACCATGGTAAACGCATGATAAACTTATATTCAAAGTGGACAGCATCGTATCATTGTGGAGAGTCGTGTTCGTCTAACAATATCAAACAACAACCATTTAATGCCTCCTAAACGCAATTATGGACACTACGGGGAAATATGTGGCAAACCGCAATGAAGACAAATGAAAAGGGTTGCAGGGAGTAAACCAAACGTGAGAAAATTATTAGACAGTTGATTTCATGCAGCCACAGAAACTCAAAACGCCTCGGCCTAGCCCTACAGATACATAAACCCCACCGCCTGCAGCCCAACTGACATCTCGGCCCGGTTCACCAAGCACACGTGGCATCTCCTTATTGCGCCATGTGTCACCATACGACGCGAAAACCTCTCCGCAGCTCCGGCGTGGCTTCTCGGCTCGAAAATCCCTTTTTGGACCTACTTGCACTATTTTGACCCTCTTGAACCTATTTTCAACCTCAATAAAGGTATATAAGGTCGTTTTAGTGCCCTATTTCACAATTTTAAGTTGGGGTTTATTATTATTATTATTGTGAAATACTAACGAAAGCGATAAAAAATCCAATAGGAACCAACGACCGGTTTGAAGCTTTATACGAAAAACGGTGTAAGAACCCAATTTGGATAGCATAACATAGAGAGGTCATCATACAACATAGAAGTCACAACAAGATCCATAACATAACATAAACTTCTCATAGTATAACTTACAATATAACATAACATATGTCATAGCATAAATAATATAATACATGTCAATAAGTCACAAAGTATGATGCGTAGAGGGGCCACAAACACAAAGCATCAATTGTTCATAGTTCATACAATTCATCCAACCAAACCAGTAGTAAAGCTACTTACTTGGTTGGTCAAAGTCGGAGTCACTAATTTATCCTTGTACTAGACTGAATTTGCCCTTTGTAATCCAATCCAACCTACGTGGGTCCACGACATCGAATTAAGACATTATATGATTCAATTTACCTCACTATATAAATTAAATCAACATTTGACTCAAAAGCAACTTAAATTAACAAAATGGTGGTAATGAACAAAATGGTGGTAATGCTAACCTCAATTACTTTCGAAAGCGTCCACTCCTAAAGGGTCAAAATTGTAAAAAAAGAAAAAAAAAAAAAGAAAAGAAAAAATGTGGAATGAGACACAAATAGACTAACCTAACAACCAAATAGCTGCCTGGAGCCACTGGAACCGAGTCGAGCGGCGTTGGAGCTAGAGTGACATAGGTTAAACTCGAGTTATGGGTCATGTTGGGATTTATGCTTTAAAGCCTCGTAATTAATTATTTAGTTTTTAACAATAATTTATATTATTTTATTTGTAATCTAATTGTTATCCATTGTATGAAAATCTAAGATTATTAATGTAATATTGAACCGTAAATGGTTGACATACAAGAGGATTATGTTCAAGTAATAACCTAAAGAGTCTACAGTATATGGATAAGGTTGGGTGCCTTATCCTGGTAACACTATTGATACGGCCTACTTTGTAATCGTTACAAATGATTTGATCCATATTATTCGTGTGGAGACATGTAAGTGGGGGTATCCTATACAATGAGTTTGTATAAGACTGGACTAAGAAATATTTAATCTCTCTTTATACATCCGTTAATTGAGAAGATTAATATTTCACATGATGATCATATGCGACTCCATCTTAATCTTGAGTAAGTTATGAACTTCTGCCTATGAGGGCTTGCCTTTAATTTACATAGGTGAGAAAGACTCTTTTAGCCGATTCAATATGCTTACTATTTTGGGGACTTGATCAACTAGGGAGTTGGAAACATAATATCTTGAGATGAAATTCACTCATTTCCATAGATGAGTTGTTGTACTGATTTCAAGACTTGAACAATAGGGTCCTACCCTCTCATTGGCCCGAGAGGGACTTGGTTTATGATTGGATCATAGACAAATTAGTCATTAGAGAATCAGTGGTACTTAAGGTGAAATAGTTAATTATAGGGGTAAAACGGACTTTTAACCCAGCTGTAATTATGAATAACTCGTGAAGAATCGACTTATTTATAATGATTATATCAATGGACATAACTTGTCCTACAGTACATAAGAGTACAACTCTAGGTCTACAGTGGAGTGACCTATAGTTAATGAATGAAAATTGATTAATAAAAGAGTTTAATTAATTAATTTTGTATCGAGCTTATAATCTGTAGGTTCATAAGGTCCCCTTGCTAGCTCATAGTAACGGTAAAAGATTCAATTTATTTGAAAGAAAATTTGAAGGATTCAAATTGATGTTCAATATATTAGATATATTAAATATAGAAAAGAAAATAAATTTAATTTGAAATATCAAATTAATATTTAATAAATAGAGAAAATATATTTAATTTGAAAGGTTTAAATTAATATTTAATATATTAGATATAATAAATATAAATGAAAAAAAATATATTAATTTGAAGGATTCAAATTAATATTTAATATATTAGATATATTAAAAAGAAAAAAATATATTTATTATATTTGATACCATTAAATATTAAATCAATTAACGTAATACATTAAATAAAAATATATTTGAAATTAGAAAGAAATTCAAATTAATTAAATATATATTAGGATATCTTATCGTATTTAAATATGATTTATATAAGTTATAATATTCTAATATATTAAATATGCAAATATATTATTTGGTAAATATTCTCCCAGAGTCCCTATAAATAGGACCCTCTGGTTGAGTCAAGGAGACATCAATCTCTCGAGAAAATTCTTGAAACTCTTTCTCCAATCCTTTGAGATTTTCTTTGAAGAGGCTCCCACAAATCTTGACTTTGTGTTCGAGTCCTAGTAAAGAAGATCTTGTGGAATGTTGAAAAACTTCTGCATGTTGGAATAGTGAGGAGTCTTGTAAGCTAGGGTTTCTATCAAGGTAGAGTTCTTACTCTTCTATTTATTGCATTGTTTTAATTCTTAATAAAAATCAAAATGGTGCAAATGCTTCCACTACGTTGGATGAAGAGTCCATTCCCTTTAATAGGTTAGTCATGGGTAGGCATGCAGGTCTGTTTGAGAGTGCTCTCGCTCCGTGGATGAAGAGTTCATTCCCTTCAATAGGTTATGGTCTGTTTGAGAGTGCTTCCGCTACGTGGATGAAGAGTTCATTCCCTTCAATAGGTTAGTCATTAGGTAGGCCTGTAGGTCTAGTCTATTTGAGAGTTTATGGACTCCAGACAAAAAAGGAGGGATCACGAATCTGAGTTGACATTGAAAATGGCTGAAGATTAAACGAGTTTGAGTGGATTCTAGGGGGAGTCATGTGTACGGGCTGCACATAGCCGGGTTACGTTTGAGGAGTAGGTCGAGACTACTGTAGCGGAGTCATATCCATCACATCACCTAATACTAGCAAGTATTTATTCTATCAAATAACTTCTCACCAAATATATTTTAGAAGACTCTATCCGTATTTGTCCAACAAAACATGTAAAAATAAATGAATGTGTATAGCTAAAATCACTCACATAGAATAGAAATAAAATTAATTTGGGAACTTTTAAGATTATCAGTATTTTCAAACATGAGCAATAAACAAAATATAATTTTTTCTACCATCTTCAATGCAGTTTTTTATTTTTATTTAAAAAAAAACAATATATTAATACATTAAAAATTAAAAATACTAAAAAAAACACAAAGATAAATCAAATAATTAACAACTTATTTTTCATTTTCATAATATTAACGTATTTTTCATTTAAAAAGAAAGAAAGAAAAGAAAAGAAAAAAATAAATAAAACCATGGGTAAGGGTTAAAACAGAAGAAAGGGAAATGGAAGAAGGCCGCTAGACAAGAGTGTTTCGCACGCTCCGGGAGTCAGTTGTACGGTCAACGCTTCATTCAACCACATCAAACTAGCCGTTTGGCCGAGCCTGAAAACATCTCACCGGCGCGGCCAACATTTTCCTTTTATGAATTCTGAGTGTGATCCAACGGTCAGAAACATTTGGAAATCAAAAGCCTATAAATAAGACACCGCTCCCTCTCCCCCTTGCCTAACAATTTCAACATACTCTTAACAGTTGCTCATATTCTCTGTTTTCAGCAACACCCACCATGTCTTTAAGCTCCCACGACTATTTGTCCTACCAATGTTCCATGCGGGGCACTTGCAACGACAGCCTGGGTTCAGACGAGCAACCCATGCAGTTGATGGAACTCCGAGTCGGACATTCGAGAAATCTCATCTCTCGATCCTCTCACCAAATTCTCCAACGGAGTCCCTCAACCCCAATGGGCGATGCTCTGTTCTCTTTTATTCTGCGCGACCAGGAACAACCACCCTTCCTCGAAAACTCCTCCGTGCTTCGGTTTCTGTCTTCCTTCAGAATCCCCATCCCCGCCTGCAATGTCATCTATGACCAGATCTCCTCCTTTGCGCAACACATGACCGCCGACGACGTCCATCTCAACTTCCACATGGTCGTGGATGTGAATGTCAGCGAAATGACATGGGTGGACCTGGACCCATTCCTTGTTGAAGAAAATTCTCCGCCTCCGATGAACGGGGCGCCGGCGTCGGCGATTGAGAGGTTGCAGAGGCAGGAATTTGGTGGGTTGAGGGAGGAAGAGGAGGAGGGGGATTGCAGCGTGTGTTGCGAAGCGCTGAAGGGAGAAGAGGAGGGGAGCAGAATCCCATGTGGTCATGTGTATCACAAATGCTGTATCCTCAAGTGGCTTCAGATCAGCAATTCGTGTCCTCTCTGCAGAACTCAATTACAAGAATAATTCTTTTTTTTTTCTTTTCTTTTTTGAAAGAATTAGGGAAAAAGTAATTCTCATATTTTTTGTGCAACAATTTCGTTGCATATCATTGTAATTAGATGAATGATAGTGACAATAAATTTCACATTTTTGTCCCAACTGATTCAATATTCTTCAAACTCTATACTTCCATTTATTATTTGGATAAATAAATATAACCTTATGATTATTATTATTATTATTAATTTAAGATAGACGACCAACGAGTTTTGAGGAGAGAGTGAAAATGTTCAGAATTCACAGACAATTGGGGTAAGGAAGACAGACTTTTCGGTCAGAATTTGGGTCGGATGCTCACCTGCAACCCAATTAGTTACGGCTCACGGTCAAGCTTGTTTCAAAAAAGAATGAGTATAAGAAATTAGAAAGTGCGGGATTCATACCACTCCAGCATCGCTATAAGTAGAAACAGCACCGCGTGGGCGTCTCGTTTCTGCAATCGCCAACTCCTTCGGCTCGGTTTGGCATCGCACATTTTTGACACGGACACTTAATTGTTATTATTATTATTATGTAATTTCTTGTAATTTTGGATTAAGAGAAATATTTTATCAAATACCATCAGGAAAGAATTAAACAAATGGCTTAAGAATCTAAGTGATTGGTTGAATCTTGTTGTTCGAGCACCTTGTTGCTCGCTTCCTAACCTTTCATCACTCATTGCCATCGTCACTTGTTATTCTAGTATTATAAGGGTTTGTCCTTTGTTAACTTGACCAAATAAGAAATTACTAACGTAATATCACGATGTGAAATTTGGTTTATGATTTGATCATAAACAAATTTTTAATTTGAGAATCACTCATACTTTGAAAGATTTAATTACATTGATAAAACGAACTTTTCACTCAACTGAAATTTAAGACTGACTTACTTGATTATATTAATTGACAATTATCCAACCATGATTGAGAATACAACTATAGGTTTATAGTGAAATATTGAAATGACTTATTCGTTAATGAATGGAAAATAATTAATTAAAGAATTTAATTAATTAGTTTTATTCCATTAATGAATGAAATTCTTACTAATACAAAGAATATAATGAATGAAATTCTGAAATTAATATTAAATATAAATAAAAAATATATATTTAATTTAAAAGGTTCACGTTAGTGTTTAATATATTATTAAATCTATATTTAATGTATAGATACATTAAATATTTGAACTTGAATCAGATTTAAAAGTTAGTTAAATAAATTTAAATATATAACGTAAATCTTATATGATTTAAATAAGACATTTTGTTATAATAGGCTAGATATTCAAATATATTCTTTAGTGAATACATTTCATCTTTTATGGGTAGAAATTTTTTCTTAAATCTCTTATTCTATAATTTTTTGGACTTTAACGGTAAACTTTGTAGAGTAATTTTTTCACGGTTGTAATATATTAAAAATTAAAAACTAAAAGAGAAAAGATAAATCAAATAATGTAACAACTTAATTTTCGTTTTCTTAATATTAACATATTTGCCCTTTAAAAAGAAAAGAAAAAAAAAACAGAAGAAAAAGAAATAAAAGTGGGAAGGGAAATGGAATAAGGCCGGTAGACGTTAGTGTTTTCGCACGTTCCGGCAGCCAGTTGTAGGGTCAACGCTTCATTTAACGACGTCAACTAGCCGTTTGGCCGTGCCTGAAAATATCTGACCGGCGCGGAAGACGCGACGGCGAAGAAGAACAACAACAATAGAAATCAGGCGTTAATATTTCTCGCACGTGCCGTCACAAATATTTTCCTTTTTTGCTTCCACTACTAGAAGAAATAGCCGTTCGGCCGTGCCTGAAAATATTTCACCGGCGCTGTGAACATTTTCCTTTTATGAATTCTGAATGTGATCCAACGGTCAGAAACATTTGGGAATCAAAAGCCTATAAATAAGACACCGCTCCCTCTTCCCCTTGCCTAACAATTTCGACATACTCTAACAGTTGCTCATATCCTCTGTTTTCATCAACGCTCACCATGTCTTTAACCTTCGGCGACTCTTTGTCCTTCCAATTTTCCATCCGCACCAATACCACCGCCACCGTCGCTTCCCACGAGCAACTCATGCAGTTCGTGGAACTCCGACTCGGACATTCGAGCCATCTCATCTCTCGATCTTCTCGCCAAATTCTTCAACAAAGTCCCTCAACTCCATTGGGCGAATCTCTGTTCCCTTTTATTCTGCGCGACCTGGAACACCCACCCTTCCTCCCCAACTACCATGTGCTTCATTTTTTGTCTTCCTTCAGCATCCCCATTGCCGCCTGCGATATCATCTATCAGGAGATCTCCTCGTTCGCGCTCCGCTTGGCCGCCGACAACGTCGATCTCAACTTCCACATCGTCGTGGATGTGGATGCCATCGAAATGATATGGGTGGACCTGGACCCATTCCTTGTTGAAGAATATTCTCCGCCTGCGATGAACGGGGCGCCGGCGTCGGCGATTGAGAGATTGCAGAGGCAGAAATTTGATGGGTTGAGGGAGGAAGAGGAGGGGGATTGCAGTGTCTGTTGCGAGGCGCTGAAGGGAGAAGAGGAGGTGAGCAGAATCCCGTGTGGTCATGTGTATCACAAATGCTGTATCCTCAAGTGGCTTCAGATGAGCAATTCATGTCCTCTCTGTAGAACCAAATTAGAACAATAATTCTTCATTTTTTTTTTTTTTTTGAGAATTACGAAATATGTAATTCTGATTTTTTGTGCAACAATTTGTTGCCCAACAATGAATTTAGATCACTGAGAGTGATAATAAATTTCTTTGTCTCAACTTTCAATTGATTCAATGTTCACCAAATTGTATAACAACAATCATCAAATAATTAGCTGTGGAGAAATAAAAAGGAGGAGGTTGCGGTAAGGTATAACAACTTAATATGGCCTGATATGTGTTAGTGCTACCTAGATGTATTGAAAATGGTAAACAATAAGCGTCCGTTAATACCTCATATTTTTCGGCATACACAACTGTTTTTGCCAATGAATCTCCTTATCGGATGTGATGTGTCTCACATTGGTTGGGGAAGAGAACAAAATACTCTTATAAGAGTGTGGAAACCTTCCCTAAGTACGTGTTTTAAAGTCTTGAGGGGAAGCCCGAAAGGAAAAGCTTAAATAGGACAATATTTGCTACCGGTAGATTTGGGCTGTTACATTGGATGTCAATGAGACCTACTTGACTCGTTTGGTTTCTAAGCACCATTTCTCAATCAATATGGATCTATTTGGTATACATCTATAATCTATTTTGTAATCATCGGTTGTACTGAAGAGACGAGCAATGCTGACATGTGAGTCAATTTTCTACTCAAGGGGTTTGCCACTCCATTTATCTTAATGGATACAATATCTCCACATCCAATTTTTTTTTACTAATTCTAACTATCTAGACAATCTCATATTGAACTTCTTTGTGTGTCAAAAAATACTTAGAGTTATGATCTATAAAAATTTAGATTTTCTCTACGTATCCATCTTTAAAGCAAATACCATTGTCATTAGTTTTAGGTCGTGCAACGGGCAGTTGAAACATCCCTATACACCACAAAACTTTAGATCACACTATGATTGCATGCAATTGCATTTCTCGACCTTAACAATGAAACTATTTATTGAGGATTTTTAAATACTAAAATCATGTTTGATATTTCTTTTTCTAGGTAGAGGTAAGACACACATGTACAAAAGATAGCATTGTTTTTGGAGGTCGTGAAAATATAGTCAAGATAGTTGTATTTTTCATTTAAGCTATAACCCTTAGATTATGTCGATGCTTATGTGATGTGATTTATGCTTAAAAGAGCCTTGTAATGAATTATTTAATTTTAATAATAATTTTGATTTTTTTTTTCAATCTAATATTATCCATACTAAAAATCAACTTTATTAATATAATCTTAAACCATTTTTGTTAGGTATTAATGATGTTTTTGAAAATTTATGAATATTTTCGAGACATGGTACTAATGGTTCTGTCTTTATACCCAGGTATGAGTATTTTTTAGACTTTTTAAAAAGTTAGTGTTTTTTATTATTAATTTTTTAAATCGTGAGGCTGACGAGAATACGTAACGAGCCAAAACGGACAATATTTGCTAGCGAAGTGTTTGGGCGGTTACAAATGGTATCAAAGTCAGACACCGTGCAGTGTGCTAGCTGTCACGGTCCTGCATTCTTGACCATGCGGCGTCGTGATCTATACACGCTCACGACCAGCCTTAAGGGGAATTAAGCCCCATTATATTTTTCGCCCCGGCTTTGTGGCTTCGTCGGACCTTGGGCGAGGTTTGTCTTCGCCAATCGAACATTCGCTTGTGCGGAATCCAAGCTTGTTCAACCACACACGCCGCCTGTGCGTGTCTGTTCAATCATCTGCGACACATCAGACTTGCCTCTATGCTAGGCCAACTCATTCGGCTCGACCTTGCCTCTGCTCGGGCCAAGGTCTCTCAATACAACGTCGCATCTCATCTTGTCATCTCGATTCCCATCGACGGGATCCATATGTCTTGACGCCATCCCGAGTCTCGGGATGTCGTCGGCCATCATAACTCGTTCGGTCATGCCATCGAGAATGGGCCCGCGTGTCGTTCATCTCATCGGGACTTCCCGAACATCCATCCATCCGGGTTCTATCGAGGCATAGGCCCTCCCGTGCCCATGCCGAGTCATTTACGGATACCGTACCGGATAGCGGGTGTATGTAGCAACCTCCAACATGCGAGCTAGGGCGCAATACCGGCACACCCGTGCCTTCCGGTACTGTCCTTCAAAAACCCATTTCAAAGGAAGTCGCCCCGAGACACTCGTCTCGGCACGCTCACCCACACTGTGACACACGTATGTGCCACAGGGTAGCTCACTTAGGCCACAGGGCCTAGGGGTGGTGGAGAGCTAACACCATGGTACCCCTACAGTACATTTTGAGCCATTTTCATTCTACCATGAGTAGACATGATTTTTGTGAGG